TCTCTCTTCAAAAAATTTGAAAATTGCCTGCACTCAACGGCACATTGGACAGGTAGTAGTATCCGATAAAAAACAGCAAGCTGTTTGTATTTTCAAGTTGGTTTGGAATCCATATATGTACGTAAGCAAGATTTGACATTTTAGAGTAAAATTTTAACAAAAGCAAGTAACTTTTAGCAAAAAAAACCGACCTCAACTCAAATAAAAAAAATATATATATATATATCTCATGATCCACTCATCGGATCTTAACCAGATTAGTATGGGACCACCTCTGAGACACTACCTTTCCGATGCAAAAATTATTATTGAAATCGGTTGACGTGGTCCAAAGTTATGCGGTAACACACATAAAAAAAAAAATATTCATACTTTTAACCAAATTTATTTGACCTTATTGACACGATCTTCAAAAGTTACACAACTCAAAATTTGGATATTTTTAAATTATGCACTAAAAATGTACACAGAGCTTTTATTTACCTTTAAGCAAAAACTGGAGCAATTTTTTTTTCAATTTTTTGAAAAAACCTCCCTTGCCCATATGATTAGCATGTGCTACGGAATAATTTTTCGCATTTTCTGACGAACGTGTAATTTCGAGTTGTGTCACTTTTGAAGAACGTGTGCGATATGACTGTATTTTCGAATTACAAATAATTACTCTTCTTCGCAGGCAATGCAAGTGAATGGGAATATGTTTACTCTACTGACGTCCGCCTCGTTTTGGGAGCACAAAACTGAGTCCATACCTTCTCTTCATTGCTTACTCATCCACTCTTCATAAATGAATACACATGTAGCTTTAATTTAGTTTAAATCTACTTTATTAAAAATTAAATAAATAATGAATTTATAATAATTAATGAATAATGAAATATTGTTTACTGTTTGAAGCATTGTTTACTGTAACACTTAGACTTCTAAATAATAAAAGAAAAATAAAAAAAAACATAAAATAAACAATAGAAAAATAGGCACAATTGATCAAAATGTTGATGAATTAATCAGCTGATCACAAGTGTATATTGTTACCTTAATTCACAAAGGAACTAACCAATAGATTTTCCAGGAGAAGCAAGAAACTACTTTTGGTACTAACCCTGGGATTCAGTAATTCAGTCTCATCTCAAGTCACTAAATTTGAGATTAGCAATTAGTGACTATTTTTGCGACTTGAGACGATTCGGGTATTCAGAAGGAGAGAGTCACAAAAAGTTCACCAAAAATGTGTGGTGAAAGCAAACACAGACAATCGACTGATAGTGTTTATGTATGCCTTTTGCCCGCGACGCTCAAAGAGTCGCAATGGCCGAGTGGTCAAAGCATTAGGCTGGCAGCTGAGAGGGTCCGGGTTCAAGTCCTCCTAGGTCGTAGATGATTTTTTATTTTTTTTTATTTAGTATTATTTTTTTTATTAGTTTTATTTTTTTTAATCATTCGATTTTAATGTTTTAAAAACAAACAAAAAATTAACTTTTTTCAATACATTTGTATGATATTAAAGCATTTTGGTTTATTTCCTAATGAAATTGTTGTTGAACAAATTTCCTCTCTTCATTTTCGTTTTTTTTTTTTAATAAAATGGAAAGATATCTTTTACTCCATATTTTTAATTTTGTGACCTATTCTTAGCCAGCTGACAAATTAGTGACTTATTTTTGAGACTAGAGACGTGAGACAGCGTGCTGAATACCAAATAGTCTCAAAATCCAAGTTCACCACCAAAAGTCACTATTAGTGACTAGAGACCGCTTACTGAATGCCAGTGTTAGAGTGTGTGTGTGAATCGGTAACAAAGTTCGCGGCGAGTAAATTTCTGACAACTATGAGGTGAATAAAATTTCAGTAGCTCACGAGGCTAGTGAAATTTTTGACAAATGCATAGAAAATGTTAGACAATCGCGAAGATTGTTGATGTGTGTAACTTTTCCATAAATAAAAGCTTATATTGATGAATTGCAATCAACGATGGTAGATGTTTTCTTAAAATATTAATTTCACTTCATTTTGTAATATTTTATTCAATGGGTAGGTTCAGAAGCGCAGAAGTTGAGCGCAACAGTTGCTAAAAAATCAGTGATCATATTCAAAACACACAACATGTCTCAAATGATCATAAAAATATTACGATTATCTAACACGCAACTGTTCAGTTGATCAGAAGTGCAAAACAACGCGTTCAGAAGGTGCAATCGCAACAGTTACTGAGCTGTTGCGCCTTCTGAACGTGCCCAATGTAAATCTGCGGTTATCAAAAATTTATTGCTGTCAAAAAAGATTTCACATCACATAGCAGATTGGCAAAAATGGTTCACCATAGTAAAAATATTATTCAACAGCTTTCCCCATAGAAGTTTGTTCCCGATTCACACACGTATTATTATTGAAAGTGTCCGGAGAGAAACAAAGTTTTCCGTTGGAAATTTATTGATTTTCAAGACTTCTATACCATTTCTGCAAAAAGTTGCTTTTTCCTCATATAAAATGCATCGAGAACTTTGACCGCTTTGAGCACTCTCTAAATATATTCTGATTTCAAAATAAAGAGTAGGAGTACATTTTTTTCAGTATAGAACAATCTTAGGTGGTGGCGGCATTAAAATTCCGACTTTCCTTTTTTGGACCACCCCAGTGTACAGACATACATACATTTTTTATCAAAACTATTGTGAGAAGAAACATGATTGATTTCTACCCAAAGCTTGTGGGTCACTATTGGAGTTGCTGTCGGTTGTGTATATTACTGTTGTTGGAGTTGGTGGATCAATTGGTGAAGAAGCTGGCGTATTCACTTGAATTGTTCCACATGGAACAAACTGCTGATTCGCAGCTTCTTGCGACATCAATTCTTCCAGTAAGAGCAATGTACGGATTTTAAACTGTCTTAAACGCATATCTCAAAGACTCGTTACTTCCGGCAGCAAGCTCAAAAGGAAAATTTTACGCGAATCATCGGCCGCAGTGGCGTAGCCAGGATTTCGCGAAGGGGGAGATTAAAAAAAATTTGTATCGATAACTTAAAGTTGTGATACACAATGGCTAGAGGCGTCGCACTATAGGCAAAACACGAGTTTTTTTTCAAAATCGTAGATCCTCGCTTAGAAAAGAGATAATGGAGTGTAAATTTTTTTATCGTAAAGATAGATGATCATATAATATAGGAAAACTATAGAGAAGTTACAACAACAATAACTTAACCCTCAAAATACCGTTCAAAATGTCACTTTTTTCACTTTTGGATTTTGGCTCCCATTCCACTAGAAAACACTATACTTAATACACCATTAGCACAGTTTCTGAAAGATTTCTCTTTATTTTATCTTAAGACTCAATTCTTGGGACATTGGATGCTGTACCCGAGTGGCCAGATTTGAAAAAGAAAACCTACCTTTAAACTCTAATAACTCGTAAACTATCAGCTTTCACAAAAAAATTTATATAACAAAAATGGTTACACTGGTCGATATGTTTACAAAAGTGCAGCAATTAACCCTTTAATGCAGAGTCTGTCATATATGAAACGCTTTTTAACCCTTTCAAGACAAGGGCAAAATGGTTCTCAATATATTTTCAACGTACTTTTTATTTTTATTTTTAATATTTTCATTTTTTTATTTTATTTTTTTATTTATTTTTTTTTATTATTATTTTACTATGGAAAAATTTTCTACGATTAATATCTACGTCAACACGAGAAAAAGCACGTTAAAAAGCATATTGAGACCTTTTTCCTCTGCCTTGAAAGGGTTAAAAAGCGTTTATATATGACAGACTCTGCATTAAAGGGTTAAATACTGCATTCCATTATCTCTTTTCTAAGCGAAGATCTACGATTTTGAAAAAAAAACTCGTGTTTTGCCTATAGTGCCTCGCATGTGGGCATTCCTTCATTATGTATGTGCCATTTCTACCGTTATATTTTTTTTGTCTATCTCGGTTATTCCATGGGGAATTCAGGCTTTATTTAAATTAAAAAATTAAATTACTACACCATTTTAATTAATTATTGTGTAGCCAGTTTTGTTTTGTAGAAGTTTCGTTAGTATACACTTCAGTTTTTACACATTGAATATATCTGCATATTTATATATTTACGCGTATCTATTTACATTTATTTATGTACAAGTCTACAAAATCTGTATTACTTATAAAGCGATTTTTAATCTTCGTTGCTTAACACACATTTTTTCATTTACTTCTTGTGTTGTAATCGGCACATCATTATGTACCGCTAACATCGTTAAACCATTCAGCCGCTCCTTAATTGTATAAAAAGAAGGGACAAATAAGATAGCATATTCAACAATTGAGTAGTCCACTTGCAAAGTGCGCTATGTAAATTTTTTTTAGATTTTTAGTTTTTGGTGGGTTTCATGTCCACTAACAGCAGAGTGAAAAATTTTTCTATATTCTGAAAAAAATAGCATGAAATGTTAACTACTCTTGCAAAAGTCGCTATAATACTTATTTATACACTTTCAAATGTCTCCTCTTCGTATGAACTTAGAAAACTGCAAGAAAACGTGGTAGTTTCGGTGCCTAGTGGAAGAGGTCGCAAAAAAGAAGCAAACCAATCTTCCTAGAGCAGAGAACGCGAAAAGCTAAGAAATGCTAGCTATGTAAAAGTTACTGTTTCAAAACTTGCAATATTAAATTTTTAAATATAAAATTTGCAAATCTACCATACTGCAATTTTATTTTGTTTATGGTATTAGGCTCTTATTTATCCAAATTTTAAGGTAATAAAAAAGATAGAGTTTGTATGTTACTTGTTGTCGTAGACGTTTTTTTTTTAAATTTATGGTTTACTTTAATAAAATCACATAACGCTGTTTGCAAGTGGACTACTCATATATTCATTAAAAGATAATTTGTCATCCGTCTGAAACAAAAAAATTTTAAATCAGAAGGATAAAATAGTATTGTGTTATTAATTGAAAAGTAAATAGTTGTAGTTCAATGACGAAGGGGGCGGATCTATCCCCCCGGCTTCGCCACTAATCGGCCGTCTTCCTTTGGTTTTTTTTTTCTTGCAGATAGTGCAGCATCGCAACGTCAACCTCGTCCTTTTCTTCTACTTTCTTCCTTTTTTCCACACTGGATGGGGTATCTTGTGAGTGCTTGGATGTTTGCGGCATTACATCGCAATTGAATTCATCATTTTCGGTGCACTCCATATCCTCATAGCGATGGACATCAGAATCTGGCAATATAAAATTAGAGGTGGTCTCTGAATGTTGCACATGTTTCACATATGGCAACACAAAGCTCATTATGTCGTGCAAGTAGTATGGTTTCTTTGCTTTAGAAAAAGAGCCACTTGGACATGGTTTCAAACTCCTAACAAACCCGTTTCGCATATTTTTCCACTTTTCCTTGCAATCAGCCACTGCGAAGAAATTAATTAAGACACATTTGTTACAGTTTGCCATGGAAGCGGAACTATTCTTTATAAAATAATAATAAACTACAAAACCACAAAAATGCAAAAACATATTTTCTGTGCACTTACCTGACCAGTTCATTTCCAGGGCTATTGCTGCCCAAGCTTTTTCAGTTATGTCCTTTCTGGAATATTCCTGCATCGTGTTGTTGTATATGCAAGGATTATTTTCAATAAATTGAACAAATTTAATTGCTTCCTCTGCCATGTTTAATAAAAAATGCAAACGCGCACAAACAAAACTGTCAACAATGTACGGTAAGCGAACAGCACTGCTACACGCTAGGTGATTTGCAGCTCGCTTGCTTTGACGAATACGCGTAGCTGACGACTCGTGTACTGCTCTCCATTTAAACACAAGCTTTCGGCAACAAAGCGTACGGCATTCGTACATCGCATCTAATACGCGTTTAAAGCCGTACGACCCGTGTGCAGTGTGCCTTAGAACTTAAATGTTATTGTAGAAGCGAATAAGGTGCATAGAGGATTGCGTTTTGATGTTATTGTAGGCGTCAGTGCATTCTTATGGAAAAACACCAATGCGTTTTCCCGCGCGTTTCATAACAAAGCAACATTTACCAGTCGAAAGCGTTGATACGCTGTTGCTAATCGCTTGCTCTTGCTTAAACTTGTTTTTCATGCGGTAATGACGATGGGTACATATGTAAGTAGATGTATGCATGTGACGTGATTATTAACTAAACCCAGCACACAAAAAAGGGGGAGCAACTCCTTTTAATAGCATGTCGCTGCCCATTACGCTAACTATCCTCCATCTCAAGTTTAAAACGTCCTCGGTTCGATCATGTACTTCGCTCCGCTCCTTACTTCGTAAATTTGATTGGCACTGAAAGTGGTACTAATGCAGTGGTTTGATACAAAATTTACAAAATTTAAACTTAAGTTCTATTGGCAATAATTGCATTTACTTAATTGCTAGAAAAAGTACTGACGTATTGTTATTGAATACGAATTAAGTACTGAATGAATTATCGCAATACGATTTTATGTTAAGGAAGTATTTCATTATCTAGATTACTACCCTGCAAGAACAGTGACTATCATTTGACCAATCATTTGAGTGACAAGACTGATAGAGATTTCTGTCACTGGATACCTACAAGTTTCTATCAAATTCTAAAGGGCAGTGTGAAAAATCTGATGTAAACATTTGTATACATGTGATGTTCCGTCTTCCTCCAACTTATGGTCTCTTTTTAACCAACGCAAAATTTGCAAATGTGTTAGTAAGATAAATGAGAATGTATTAGTTTCCATCACACAATTCCTGTAGGGTACTAATTAACGTGAATTTTTTAAATAGTGCGATAATTCAAAACATTAGCAAGTGGATTTTCTATAAAATTTTCACCGTGATTCGTTGCGGTGTATTTTTTCAACTTAGTTGCTCTTAGGAATCTTTCTGCCATCTGTTAAAACTGTAGTGCCAAGGTCCTTATCGATAACCTTTTCAACAAAAACCTTGTCAAACTTATTCCCCAATCTTTTATTTCGCCTTAAAAAACCTTTTCTCCTGGAGTATAAGTAATATATATTGTAATATATTGTTTCTATTCCTTTTCAATAAAGTTATTTCCTGAGCGTCGACTAGCTTTTTCTTTATATCGCTTAATTTTTC